TATTAGCAATTGTTACATCATAACTTTTTAATGATAGTATTATTTCAGTAAGTGTACTGACTAAACTAAGAATGGGGGGCATACCAGAACTTGACAGTTCCTTAAAAAGAGTATTATTTCTTCTTACTCTAAAAATGTGTGAAATGAGCGTCTATGTAATACCAAACGTAATATTAAGGTAATTAAAAGTATATACCTCACTTTAAACTTTTGAGATCGTTCTGGAACATTGAGTGCAACTGGTAAATTTGCTTCAGGAAGAACTTTTTATTGGCTTGTGTTTTATTGTGAGAAATGTTTGATCTTGTGTCCTGACCTTCTTGCTGATTAGTCACCCTGTTTTCCTCATCTGCTGCATGTTGCTCCCGGTTTCCAATCCCAGTGCAACATGTCCTCAGCTGAAACCATCAAAGAGCTTCCCCTTCCCCACTCCTGTCGTATGACGGTATCACTGTTCTCCTAGTCAGGGAAACTGAAAAACTCATGCTCACTAAGCTCCTCTTCTTCCCGTATCCAAGACTGAAGTCATAACCTAACTGTTCCTGAAGCTATTACAAAGTGTAGCTGGTCCTGGCACCAAGTACAGCGTGGGACTCTGCAAGGACACGCCGTTTTACTTGGCCTGCCACCAGATGCATATTTTCTGGACAACACGGGAATCCTAACTTTAAACTGCAGAAGGGTCTTGTCATCCAGGAAATTGATCTATTCCTAAATCTAGAGAGATCGCGTGTCTTGGCGCTTTATAGAATTGATAACAGGATGCATCGTGAGTGATCACGTCCACACCCGGCCAGGGACGTTATTTAGTTTCCTACACAGTCTTGTGTACAACCGAACACAGGAACAGAACAGACGGGGGGCCTTCCCAGCAGTCTCTTGTTCCTCCTTACGGAAGAACTGATGAGTGACCTTCTCTAGCTACACCAAGGAAGTAACTTCTGGACTGATCTTGTCGAGAGCTGCCTCCCAGAGCCTTGGGCTGCTCTTAGCCGAAAAGACCACTCAGGAATTTGCATTACTTGCTCTAGACCCTAGTCGATAGCTTGACTTTGGTTTCGTCCCTGTGTACAGTGTGTGTTCGATGACTGTTTTCTTAGCCTTGTCAGTGGCATCGCAGTGCTACGGTACTGCCCCTCTAACCTTGTCATTGGCCCATGTCTTCTCTAATGCCGGTGTTGACAGGGGCTATTGAAAACCTTTTTTGGGAGGACAAGCCTCCTCCTCTTTGGAGGCCAAACTTAAAATGTGTTGTGTGTCTGTGCAGCGCAGTGACCCCTTGTATAGCAGCACAGTTGGGTCTCCTGCAGGCGACAGCAACGGGTGGCATTACTGTGTAAGTGTGTCGTGTGTGTGCCTACATGGGGCTGGGCCACCGTCACTTCCCTGCCGAACCGTAGTGGCGCATTTTCACCTAATATTGCTGCTTGCAGTCTTCTTTCCCTCTAGAAGATCCTTAGCGTTTGAGAAGGAAGTGTCGCTCTCATTCAATGAACATTAATCCTGGGTTTTCTCTTTGTAGAAAGCTTAGTGACACCTGATTGCCTGACAAATCCATCACACATTTTTTTTTTTTTTATCCTGGCATTTACGGCTCTTCTTGATTCGGTTTCAACTTAACCTTACGCGTCTCTTCCCAACCCACGCTCTCGTATTCAACATCCACATCTAGACAAGCAGGTCTCTTTGCCACGTCCCAGGCACGCCTGGTAGTTTTCTGTCCTCATTATTTTGTGCACGTCTAGGTGTTCATCCTTTTTGCTTGCCGTCACCAACTGTTGCAATGCTGCTATCTTTGAGTCCCAGCAAGGTCACCATCTTCCTTGTGGCGTTTTGCTTGAATTTCCTGCTAGAAATGGTGTCTTCGTCATTTTAATGTGCACTGTATCTTGTTTCCGCCCGTCACTTCCTGGACGTAGTCATTGTTAATATGTACCTTCAGGGGGAGCCACCTCTTTCAGGATAAGCACTGTGTCTCAGTCACAGAATTCCTGGAATGCTATGGGAACTCATGGGAGGGCTCAGGAAACATTTGTCAAGTGACTGAAAGAATGAATGCATGATAGTAGTTGAGTAAATGCAAGGTCCTTTATTGAAAGCAAACAGTTTCCTGCTAATTTAGATATGTTCTCGGGGTTGCCTTTCACAACTAATATTTCTTGAACTGGAGCCCACCTACAGTAGTTTTCTGGAATACATGTGCATGTCATTCTTAATGAAATCTGAAAGCAATGCCTAAGGCTCCACCAAGAGCAGCAATTCTCTTTGGCCTGTCCCCTGAGATTGCCTTGACAGGACTTGCAATAGGCTTTGACTGCCAAAAAAAAATTCAAAAACTTCTGCATTTCAGCAACTTGTTAACAGGCCGCTGAACAACTCTAGTTAATTCTGTAGAAAACACAGGATTCGCTTTGAAGTGTATGATATTATTAACACAGATCCTGTGAATTAACATTAGGGCTCGGCATGCATTGCAAATGAGGTGCAGTTGCCCTCTCTCTGGCAATGACTTTTTAAAACGTAGAACATAAAAAGGTATTTTAAGCTTGGAAATAAAAAAAACATATCCAAGAATTTTGATTTTTGCAAGGACAGTGGCAAACCCAGTGAAAGAACAAGGGTAGCTCTGTTCTGCCCACTGAACCCTCTGCAACAACTTTCTCCCTGCAAAGGTGGACTCAGGCTCTTATACAAGGATGTCAGCTCACTTCAACTGTGTTAGGATTTCCTTAAAAATTAAAAGCAGGAGGTCGCACTCTTCCTGTACCTGCCAGGTGTCTCTGGTCCCCAGGGTCTGTCTCCTTCCACTTTCTCACACCTGAGGCCACTAGGGCATCTTAGCCCGAAGGACCTTTTTGGGAGGGCCTAGCAAAGGCCTGTCCTGCAACCCTGGAAAACCAGATCGGTCATGGATTCTCCAGGGCTTCTCCCGACCTCATGGGCCTGTGGATGTTTTGGATAGCTATAAACTGTCCTTCTCTCTCTGCTCACGTCCCATCTTGGTAATTTAGCTGCCACTCTGGGGCAGGTGCCTGTTCCCACCAGGCACCAGAGTCCTGGATGTGAATCCAGCCCGGGGACATGCCCCGCTCCCTGCCGGCCCGCTGGGCTAACGCCTAGTGCCTCTTTTCCCTTTGGGCTTCCGAGGGCCGCGGCCCCAGGCCCCTCACCGTGCACTCCCAGCTCCTCCTGGTGCCAAGTGTGTGAGGGGCTGGCTGTCCCCCACTTGCTAGACGCTGGCCCCTCACCGTGCACTCCCAGCTCCTCCTGGTGCCAAGTGTGTGCGGGGCTGGCTGTCCCCCACTTGCTAGACGTGGCTGTCCTCCAGGACCTGCCGTGGGCCTGACCTTCCTGCTGTGGGCATTCTCGTAAGGACTCTGGCTTTCTCTCTTTTGTCCGATTGTTTTCTGTGTGGCACAGTATACTTACTTATATAATATTCACCGTCTTAACCATTTTTTAAGTATCCAGTTCAGGGGTATTGAAACCATTCACAGTGGTGTGCAGACATCACCACTGTCCGTCTTCAGAGCTCTTCTCATCTTATAGAGCCGAAAGTCTCTATCCATGAAACAGCAACCCCGCATCCGCCCCTCCTCCCAGCTGGCACCCACCACTCTACTCCCTGTCCCTGCAGTGTGACTGCTCCAAGTGCCTTATGTGAGTGGAATCACACAGTCCACTGTCTTTCTGCGGCTGGCTTGTTTCACTTAACATAATGTCCACGGTTTTATCCATGTTGTTGCAATTTGCCAGAATTTCTTTTCCTTAAGGCCAAACAATGCTCCGTTGTCCGTATGCATCATGTTTTATTTATCCAATCATGCTTTCTCTTTCCTGAGCCTGTTCCTTTCACTGGGCATGTGCGGCCTCTTTCTAATTTCCCATTATATGCAGTGACTTTTGAATGTTCTAGTCTTCAGTGCCTGGCTCCCCAAAGAGGAAAATGAGAAAATAAAGGGGGGTGGTGGTGTCATGAGCACCAGTCCCATAAAGCCCCTGCAGGTCACCCCGGCCAGAAGGGGAAGGGTGGTGACAGTGTAAGGTGCCGCAGCAGCGGTGGCCGACCAGCCCTGCGTGGGGACCTCTGTGCTCGCGGGCAGTAGCAGTCAGTGGTCAGGGTGCGGAACCCCCAGGCTAGAGGACAGGACCCTTCCCGCCCACCCTGGGTCCTCAGGCCGTGTGCGGGTGGCCCGGCTGCCTGCCTCAGGAGTAGGGGTGGGGGATAGAAGCTGCTACTGTGCTGCGAGCTGCAACTGGCCAGAATTAACCGTGATTTACCTTCCCCTGGCAGCTGGAGTCTCTAGTAGACTCTGGAGTGCCAACAGTTACACCGGATAGATTCTGCCAGTGCACTGTCGTCTACGTGGGGAGACAGATTCCTGGTACTTCCTGCTCACTGTCTTCCCAGAGTCCTTTCTTTGGACTCTTTTTCTTTGAGCCAGACTTGTCGAGCCCTTCCTTTCGGGGGGAGGTGGGGAGCTGCTCCCCTGGAACTTCCTTAGTTCCCTAGGGACCCCGGCAGTCACACCTCCGTGTGTACGCTGAGTCTGGACCCTTCCGGGGGGCACAGGTTGCAAACACCCCTGAGAGCCCACATTCACAGAAATGCAGAATGAATACAAATCAAGCCTTTCAGAGAGAATCAAGTGAAGAAGAGAGCATTATGAATGTGTTGGCTTAGGCAAATCAGAAAGGATCATCACGTGCTGGCGTATGCATGCACATTTATAGATAAAATTCCTATCTTTACACAATGCAGTCCTAATAGATAGGCTCCTATTTCCAAACGAGGGATATATTTATATCAGCTCATCTTCAGTGACAGTTTTCCTTTTATGTGTTTTTATTGAGGTTTTTGTATATGTTAAATCACTAGTAAAAGCAAAGCAGAGAATGCTGGTCTCTTTTTATCTTTCATCGTTATTTAAGCAGAAGAGACCACCGTGTCCTCACAGTATGATTTAAGGATGCTGGCCGTCTTGGTTGGGAAAAGATTTTATTCTGAGAATGTTCATGAGTTCATGAGCATGGGCTTCCCTTCACTGGTAGTTGTGATGAATGTCCCATGTACATTTCTGTCATTTATGGGTCATCTTTTCTTTAGGTTAAGACACGGTGCACCCACAGCACAGGAAATTCAAGCTGAGCCTTCTCTGAATCACAGTCTGCAGATTTTAAGCATGATTATGGTCAGTCAAACACATTACCGTATATACCTGATAAATCATGTTTGAATCAATGCCAAATAATTTATTTTTTAAAAAATATCGAGCCTTCGAGAAAGAGACATGCAAAGAAAGCGCTAATGTGCATTAGTCGAAATATATTTTTTGCTTTGGATATCGGTTGATTGTTCAGCATTTAGCCAGACTATGTGGCTCACTAACTGCTGTATGATCTCGTTTTGCTATTTAACATACTCAATAGTGAAATGTTTAAATGAGCGACAGCTTTTTTAGACTGCATTTCAAGACTCACTATGTGTGACACAAATACCTCCCACAGCTTTTACTCAGCTCTGCCAGCCTAAAGGTCTCACGCCGCAGCACGCAGGTTTCCCACTCGGATGCTGGATATGACAGAGGTAATTAACTGTCCTCCGAGAGGTTTATACCAGAGTGCGGAATTGTCCCTGACAAGTGTCTTCCCAGCTAAAGACATTATTTTTCAGCCCTCCTTACAAATTAGACGGGTCACGATACTAGTTGTCACCAAGTGGAACGTGAACGGAAGTGATGGGTATCACTTTCAGGCCAAACTGTTAAAGAGGAAAGCAGTTGAGCAGATAAGCCAGTTTGTGGCACACTGCGGGATGCTGTTCGGTGACAGGAAGAAGGAACTGCTGACTCGTGCAGCCACGTGGATGGGTTTCAACGCCTTGTGTTGAGTGAATAAAGCCAAACTCAAAGGAGTGCGTGCTGTGCAATTCCATTTATGTGAAGCCCACCAGTAGACAAAACTGATCTATGTTAATAGAAATCGGAAAGGGGTTGCCTAGGCAGCAATGGTGGTTGACCAGAGAAGAGCACTAGGGAATTTTCTGGGTGTTAGAAATGGTTGGCGTCCTGTTTCAGATGGCGATTACATAGGTGTGACAATTGTCAAAACGCGTTGAGCTCAACACTGAAGGTCTGAGGGTGTGTGTGTGTGTGTGTGTAAATTATACATTGATAAAATGGGGATGTGCCTTCTTGATACTTTCTTTCCCCATGCTCTAACTCAGGGGTTCTCAACCAGAAGCAATTTTGTCTCCCAGGAGACACTTGGCAATATTTGGAGGCATTTTTGATTGCCCCACTTCTGGCATCTAGTTGGTAGTGGGCATGATGCTTCTAAGCATCCTGCAATGCCCGTGACAGCCCCCACAGCAAAACAGTGTCTGTTCTAAAATGCCTCTGGTGCCCAGGTTGGGACACCCTGCTGTAGCTGAATGCAGAGGGCTCTGAGTCTTTAGAGAAGATCGGCCCTCAAAGATAGACAGATTGTGGCCACCAGCATTGGATGTTATGTATATGTTATGTTATGTTTTTTTTTTTTTATTTCTTGTGAGCAAGAAATAATTTTTTTTTTTTTTTTTTTTGAGACAGAGTCTCACTCTGTTTCCCAGGCTAGAGTGAGTTCCGTGGCGTCAGCCTAGCTCACAGCAACCTCAACCTCCTGGGCTCAAGCGATCCTCCTGCCTCAGCCTCCCGAGTAGCTGGGACTACAGGCATGCGCCACCATGCCCGGCTGATTTTTTTTTTTCTATATATATTAGTTGGCCAATTAATTTCTTTCTATTTATAGTAGAGACGGGGTCTCGCTCTTGCTCAGGCTGGTCTCGAACTCCTGACCTCGAGCGATCCGCCCGCCTCGGCCTCCCAGAGTGCTAGGAGTACAGGGGTGAGCCACCGCGCCCGGCCTAAGAAATAAATCTTTACTGTGTTAAGGCCTTGAGATACCAGGGTTGGCTTGTTTCAGTGCTAGCATTGCTTAAGCGCACGTACCAGACTTTAAACTGTTGCTGCTAAGAATAATATTATACTGCAATGTCCTCCTTATTAGGAGGCATGAGCGAAATTTATCTTAGGTATTAATACTAAGCAAAGCTGTGCTTCCTCGAAACCACTACTGTAACTTTTTCTTCTGGACATTGTCAGTTTTATAACATAATGTGTTTCCCTTCTTGTTTCACATCACAGAGAGCTTACAGCTCAATTTTTAGATGGCTTTTATAAGCAATTCTCCAGGAACCCATGGCTCCGTGTCGTTTCTGCATGTTCCCTTACCTCTGTCTTCAATAGTGCCGTCCCCTTTTTGCCCCTTAGCAACAATACCATGACTACTTATTTTCTCTTTTGGTATTCAGTTAAGTTGTTTGGTTTTTATATTTTTTAAGGCCAGCTTGCTTATAGTCTTGCCATAAAAATGCACCTTATGAAAATTTTATTCAAACACCCAGTGTTCTGTTATTTCAGGGTTTTCGATTCATAATGGTTTTTTGCATGTCAGACCTCGAAGGGATTTTCCTCTTATCTTAAGGTCAAGAGAGGCGCAATCATGCACCCAGTCCGTAATACTAGTTGGTGGGACTGTTCTGTCTCTGAAACAGAAAGTGCTCTGTATTGTATATGAAAGTTCTGTATTTTGCATGTAGAGGACAACTTGCTCGTTACTAGCGGGAAGTAGCTTTTGAATTGTGCTTCCAGTGGGGAGAGGGGCTCGTGGCAGGCTAGAGCAGACACTGTTGCCTGCCCAACACCCATGCCCCTCCCCCTCTCCGGCAGGGCACCTTTCTCAGCTAACCCTAAGCTTCAGGGAAGTGGGGACATCCAGTCCAGCACCAAGGACAGCGTCACAGCTGGAGTAAGCAGTTGCTGTTTTCTCTGTGTCAGTCACTGGTTTCACCTCTGGGCTGGTCCTGCTATTCAGGCAGCTACGACGCAGCAGAAGTGGGCTGAAAGGGGGAGTTCCGGGAATGGTTTTCTCAATCTTAAAAACAGACACAGAGGAAAAGGATTGCTCTCTTGCCTCTGGACACCATTGTGTCTGCACCAGATGTCCGGGCACTGGCGGCTGTCGCAGGGCCATGAGGACAGTCAGCCGGGAGCACAAACCGGACCAGCTAGGGACGGCAGGCCGGAAAGATAAGAGACCTGACCCTGGAGCTAGATCACCTCTCGGTCTGTCGTATGAGAGAGTAAATGCCTCCAGCCAGTTGCTTTAATGTTTTCTTTTACTTGCAGCTGTGAAAGTATTCTTGCAAAAATATCTTCTTCCACCTTCATGATGGCCTGGGGTGGCTTGAACATTTATGATGTCCCTATTTATGGCCAGTGTGAGATCCAGGCTCAGGAACCAGAGGGCGTGGGGCCTTTGCCTCAGTCAAAGCGTGCTCTGATAAGCCAGACTCTTCAGCCCGAGCACCCAGCGCAGGGCTTGGCAACCTTCTTCTGCAAAGAGCCAGGAAGTATGCTAGATTTGGCCTCGGGGTTCCGTTGCCGCTGCTCAACTGCGCAGTGGCAGTGCGGGGCCGCCGGTGGCAGCCGTCAGAGAGGGAGCAAGGCTGCGCCGATAGAACTTCCGTCACGCAGAGCAAGCAACGGGCCAGATCTGGGCTACGGGGGCCGCAGTTCTCCGACCTCTGACCTGCGTGGCGTTCCCAGCCGACTACAGACAATCTGGGCTGGCCGGGCCCACCGCAGCCAACCGTGGGACCACTGGCCTGGCGCATGTCTTCTCTCCTGTCTCTTGCATTTTGCAGTGAGATTGTGGAAAAGCCAAAAAGTAAGAAGACAGAAAATTGAAAAGCAAGAGGTTTATATCACGGGCCTTCTCCTTAATCAGTTTGCAGAAAAGTCGATGGTTGGCTACACCTTTTTGAAACCATCTGTCTAGAAAGGCCCACGCACTCCAGCCACTGAATGAACAGGAAATACACCGGCCCGGGCTTGCTCAGGGCCACCTGTTCTGACGCAGCACCTCTCTGACCAGACCGGCCTCTCTGGCCAAGGTGAGTGGCCTTCAGAGTTTGCGTGCAAACAGGTGCGTCTGGGAAGCCAGCATGTCCTTCTAATTACGGGAACAGGAAAGACTTTGTTTCGGAAAGTGTCAGTCTGTCGTGCTCAGCCAGCGTACTGTTTGAGATATAATGAACCCTGTCGAAAACGACATGGGGTAATGGAAATCAGGCAGAAAAGACTGACTTGGGAAAATACCGATGATGAGTATCTGCTGGGGAAGAAACGAAGGTAGAGAAAGCAGAGTGGAAAGCGGAGTAGTCAGCTCAGATTGTCCAACGATTACGTTATGTAGATGTGCATGACGTCTGCAGGGTAGAATGCTTATTAGTTTGACAGATCCTCCTCTTACTTCCCATTCTCCTATTTCTTCAAATTGCAACCCTGTCTCAAAGTAGGTTGGAATGAGATCATGGTTTTTAAAGTGGTTCTTCAGTGCACGTGGCCTGGGAGTGAGCGCGTCCCAGTGGGTCACCGGATTCCTCCGCGACAGCTGCTCGGGACCCGCAGAGCGTGGCCTCGGACTAAGCGCTTTTGCTCTTTGAAGCCCATTTTGAATAGACGCATGTGTGCTACCAGGGAGACATTTGTGCCAGCGCCTTAGTGGCTTCCGATTAATACAAACACGCACACACACACACACAAGAACTATACAAGAGAACAAAAGAAATCGCCCTTAAGAAGGCAGCTCGTGAAACATGATGCGTTGGCTTGGTCTCTAATCAGGCCCTCCCTGCCTCTGCGGAGGAGATCAGGAGACCTGCCTCCCTCCCCTCCCTCCCCTCCCTCCCCGTCTTCCCCGCCTGCTCCCACGGCCTGATTGCCACTTTGCAATTAATTGAAAAGCCGATGCTTTTAAGTCGACGCCAGGTGACTTAGCAGGAAGCAACACACTTACAGGTGTCTCAGGAAGCACAACTTACGATGCCTAGTCACTCTTAATGACTTCCCTCCTGATTGCGCTCCCGTGGCTTGGCTCCTAACCAGGCCGCCCCTCTACGGCAAAGTGGCCCACTGGCAAGTCACGTGGAGATGGCAGAGGGGCCATCCTTTCAGCGTCGTTAGTGGAAGACAGACAGATCCAGCTGGAAGTGGAACAACGTGGCCTTATCCTCTGGTTAGGAGGAAAGGTAGGAGGGAAGCCGGAAGTATCGTCCTAGGTTTTGAGCCCCTTTGTGGCCTGGGTTCCACCTGCACACCCCCCTCCACGTCCCCCAGACACCCGGTCTGTATCTTGTCCGTGGTCCGGATTGTGCCATCCCCTCTGTCGTGTCCACGTTTCCACGCGTGCTTGGCGAAGCCGGACTCATCATCCTTCAAGACCCGGGGTGAATCTTTCCTCCCCGTGAAGGCGCCCAGCTCCATCGAGGGGTCATTGTCTCTACTGTGCGACCCCTTGTCTGTCTAGGACGCATTGAGGCGTACCAGGGTTGACTGATCCAGCGACACCGGCTCGTTCTGGAGCCGCGGGGCCCTGAGGGTCACACCGCATTCGGCACCGTCTCCTCTGCGGCGGGCACACGACAGACGATCAGCAGACGGCTGCGAATCAGAGTCGGACGGCCGAAAAGCTCGTCGTCGTCTG